GGACTCACAATACCATTCTACATTCTGTAGTTACACAAGTTAGTAGTACTTTGGCTGAAATGTGGACACCAGCTGTGATAACCATGTCATATCTGAATCTGATAAGGTTATGTGCATTGTATCCATTTCTGATGGGAAACTGAGAAACCCATCAAATTTTGAGCCCAACCAACCATTGCATGATGATGCGAGACCATCATATCCATCACGTCCAAAGAAGATATAACAAACAATTTTGAAGAAATCATTTCAGATCATGATCAGTCTTTTCTGAAATTTGACATTGTGTCTCTGTCAAGGAAGCTTACACTGCATAAATAGCAGGAATCACATCAAAGATACATAGGATTTAGACATATTTCTATCCTCCACTGTTCAGCCATGGAGGTTATGATTGGTCACCTCCTCATTCCATACACAAAGGACACTGGCCATACAGAGATCACAAGGAGAGCTGATCCCTGGAAGTCATCCTTGGATCTGATGGTTCTCATGGATCCAGGACTGTCTTTAGATCCAACAGCTTGTGCAACCAAAATCATTCTCAGATCCAATGGCTTTCGTGGAACCAAGTTCCTCTTTGGATCTAACAGCTTTTGTGAAATAGAGGGCATTATCAGACTCCATAGCTTTCATGGAACTGAGATTGAGTATAACAGCAATTCTGATACTGAAGTCATCCTCACATCCCATGGTTCTTATGGAACAAAGGCCCCCTTTGGATCTGGCAGCTTTTCTAGAACTAAAGTCATCCTTGAATCCAGCAACTTTAATGGAACCAAGATCTTTTTCAGATCTGACAGCTCTTCCGAGACTGAAGTCATCCTCAGATCTGAAAACGTTAAAAACCATCTTTGGATCTCATAGGAAGCAAGGAGGAATGAAATGAATTTCTATCTTGCTACTAACACTACAATTGTGGAAATGGTATATTTTTAAGCATGTTATTTCCTTAGGCAATATATGTGTCAGTGGAGAACTGCAAAGCAAGGTTACTTCAGCAAGAAAATGACACACAATCACAGTAGGAATTATCAACCCCATTTTTCCAATTAATAACTAACTGTTGGGGACACCCTGCTCTAGATGTGCTTGTCTGCAAAACAACTGAAGGTGCTAAAACTCTTGTATGTGGACAGACAGGCAAGAGATGACATTCAGTAGGAGATGCCTTCACAGTGAGATGGATGGAGAACTGATTTATCTCTTCTTTCTTTCTTTCTTTCTTTCTTTCTTTCTTTCTTTCTTTCTTTCTTTCTTTCTTTCTTTCTTTCTTTCTTTCTTTCTTTCTTTCTTTCTTTCTTTCTTTCTTTCTTTCTTTCTTTCTTTCTCTCTCTCTCTCTCTCTCTCTCTCTCTCTCTCTCTCCCCCTCCCTTCTCCTTAAAAAGGACATGAATGGTAGTCAAATTAAGGCAGGACAAAACAAGAGGCAGGTAGCCAGCCAGATAGCTCAGTTAATTAGCTGTCTAGCTGTGGAGTAAGGTACAGTGGGGTCTTGACTTGAGAACTTAATCCGTATTGGAAGGCGGTTCTCAAGTCAAAAAGTTCTCAGGTCAAATCTGCATTTCCCTTAGGAATGCATTGAAAACCATTTGATCCGTATCTGCTCTTTTCCGTCCATAGAAACTAATGGGAAGCTGCTATTCTGCCTTCGACCACTAGAGGGGGATATTTTGTTTCTTTTTTTCTTAGGTCAAGAAAGGTTCAGGGAAGGCAGGGAAAATACAGTCCAGGCAGTACAGTACCAGGCAGTCCAAAGACTGTCTCCCAATCCACTCTCTAAACGCTGGGAGGAGTGAGGAAGCAGACAGGCACCCTTTTCACTGGCCAACAGTTAACTGAAAGTTCAAATTTTGCACTTTCCCTGTGTCCCACGTGGTTTTTTTCCAGTTCTTAACTCAAATCTAAGTATGTAAGTCAAGTCAATATTTTCCTATGAGAGTGGTTCTTAAGTCAAAATGTTCTTAACTCAAGCTGTTCTTAAGTTAAGACCCCACTGTACTGGAAGTTCAGTTCCCCACTGTGACCCCAGAAGAATCAGTCTGTGTGGTCATGAGCAAATTGCACAGTCCTAGGATGCCCCCAGAAGAATGGAATGATGAACCACTTTTGAGTACTAACTAGAAAATCCTGAAAAGCAGCACCATAAGTCAGAATTGATGGCACATTACAGTGGTGCCTCGCATTACGATGTTAATTCATTCCAGTGAAATCACTGTAGAATGAAAACGTCGTAATGCAAAAATAAAAAACCCATTGAAACACATTAAAACCTGTTTAATGCATTCCAATGGGCTAAAAACTCACCGTCCAGTGAAGATCCTCCATAGGGCGACCATTTTCGGTGGCTGTCTTGTGAGAAATCCATCCCAGAAAACAACGGGGAGCCATTTTATTTACCCAATGGCCATTTTGAAACCACCGATCAACTGTAGGAAAATTGTCGTTTTGCGAAGAATCGGTTCCCAAAGCAGGGAACCGATCATCGCAAAGCGAAAAAAGCCTATTCAGACCATCGTTTTGCGATTGCAAAAGCGATCGCAAAAACGTCGTCCTAATGTGGTTTTGTCCTAATGTGGGGCAATCGTAAAGTGGGGCACGACTGTATTATTATTAATAAATTAGATGCAGTACAAAAATATCATGGTGGTCCAGACAGTAATAATGTGTCCCTCTTCCCATGTCAATCAACAGACCATGTCCCAGATTCCAGACTTTCTGATATGTCACAAAAGCAAAATCCATCATCATGACACAGTAGTTAAACTGCAGTACTGCAGTCAAAACTCTCCTCACAACCTGAGTTCAGTCCCAATAGGGTCAGGTAGCCAGTTCAAGGTTGACTAAGCCTTCCATCTTTCCAAGATTGGTAAATTAAATACCCAGCTTGCTGGGGGGTCAGCAATGTGTAGTCTGTATAATTAAATTGTAAACTGCCCAGGGAGTGTTTTATGCATTATGGGGTGGTATATAAGCTGTGCACACATGCATGCATGCAAGCACACACACGCACACACGTTTTTAAATCAACCACCTGGAGTATTTGTCCCTAATAAGGGAAATACTTAACCATTCATGAAAATCAGGTGCAAAGTGGCTTATGATCAAAAATTGAAAAGATTTTCAGTATTTGCAAGTCCCATAACTGAGAAAAATATACCAGTCACCTTGGAGATGGTCATGCATTTCCTATTCCATCTCAAAGAAAACGGTTTATCACCTCTAAAAGTGTATCTGGCAGCCATTGTAGCACATCAACCGAGGAATCATCCATCAAGCAGTCTATTTTCTCATCCAACACTGAACAGATTTATGAAGAGCTTAAGGAATGTGCATCCTGATGTTAAACCTGCGGCAGCACAATGGTCTGTGCTGGTGATCTCAACACATTTAAAGAAGTTACCATCTGAACCCATGGAAACATCAGATCTCCATTTACTGACTCTTTAGATGGTGTTCTTACTGGCCATAATGTCTGTGAGGAGAGCTAGTGAACTCGGTGCTACGCGTATGAGATATGATCCACCGTACAGTACCTTCTGTTTCATGAAGACTAGGTCTTGTTGTATCCAGAACTTGCTTTGCCAACACTACATCCATCAGCCCAGAGACCTCTGGAAAAAAACCCTTCATTCCTTAGATGATTGCAGATCTCTGGCTTTTCTATCTTTAAAGGACTGTGGATTTTAGAAAAGCAAGTGTTATGAAGACCCCCATGAAAGTCTGTGTCATCCCAGTGCCTATCAAAGTGGATTGTCATACAGTAGTTGTTGCGCAAGTTTTAAATTGATACTTTGCTCTTTGTTACTTTGTTATTTTCTTTGTATGTTGATATGCTTTACTGAAACTGCTTAGTCAACCTTACTCATTTGCCCAGGTCTGTCCTAGAGAGAGGTAACTAATGGGGTGTCTCAGGGTTCTGTTCTGGGCCCTGTGCTATTCAACATCTTTATCAGTGACTTGGATGAAGGAATAGAGAGTATGTTGATTAAATTTGCGGATGATACCAAATTGGGAGGGGTTGCTAATTCCCTAGAGGACAGGATTAAAATTCAAAATGACCTTGACAGATTAGAGTCCTGGGCCAAAACTAACAAAATGAATTTCAACAGGGAGAAATGTAAGGTCCTACATCTAGGCAGAAAAAATGAACTGCACAGATCTAGGATGGAAGACACCTGGCTAGACAACAGTACCCGTGGAAGGGATCTAGGTGTCTTGGTAGACCACAAACTGAACATGAGTCAGCAGTGTGATGCAGCTGCCAAGAAAGCCAATGCAATTCTTGATTGCATCAATAGGAGAATAGTGTCTAGAACAAGGGAATTGATAGTACCACTCTATTCTGCTTTGGTCAGAACCTAACCTGGAGTATTGTGTCCTGTTCTGGGCACCTCAATTCATGAAAGATGTTGACAACCTGTCCAGAGGAGGGTGACCAAAATGGTCAAAGGTCTGGAAGCCATGTCCTATAAGGCAGGGCTTAGAAAGGTGGGAATGTTTAGCCTTACAAAAAGAAGGTTAAGAGGGGACACGATAGCCATGTTTAAATATTTGAAGGGATGTTATGTCGAGGAAGAAACAGGTTTGTTTTCTACGGCTCCAGATACTAGGACAAGGAGCAGTGTGTTCAAACTACAGGAAAAGAGATTCCACCTGATTTTAAGCAGAGGTTGGATGGCCATCTGTCGGGAGTGCTTTGATGGAGTTCCTGCATGGCGGGGGGTTGGACTCGATGACCCCTCTGGTCTTTTCCAACTCTTTGGTTCTATGATTCTATGATTTTGAAGACTTCTTCATCAATGTATCTCCAGAAATTGAAATAGTCTTCCATTGACCTTTGAATTTTGTCATTTTTAGTGTCAAATGTTTATGCCAGCTTCTGGTTGTATGGCTGATGTTACTATTGTCTGGTTCTAGCTTGAAGTTTTGACTTCATTGTGAGTGACTGAAAGCCAAATCTATGATGATGTTTATTCTCTCATTCTTTCTTACCACAGACATCATTCGTAGCGATATTGCCTTGGATAAGCAGAAAGGCTGCAAGATTGCCCAGCACCCAGATATCATGTTGGAACTACAGAGGGAAAAGGCAGCTCAGATGCACCTGGTCCTCCTCAAAGAGCAATTCTCCAATACTTATACCAATCTCACACTAACAGGTAAGGCTGCAAGGATATCATGAGCAGAATATCACCACTTCATTGCAGGCTCTAAATTAAAGGTATACAGAAGATTCTGGGAAGATCCTATGTCGAGAATGGGAATTATGTAGCTCTCCAGATATTGCTGAATTGCAAATTTTGTCATTCCTCATTAACTGTTGTGTTGGCCAGGACTGGTGGGAGTTAAGTCCACCATCTAGAGCAGCCATTCTGAACCTTTTTTTTTTGCCACGGCCCTTTTAGGAACTCTTCTTAGCTTCCAGGGTCTCCTGTCAAACAAGAGAAGCTTTTGACTCTATGCAAACAAACATACATCATGAACAGATGAATCTGTGTCCCCCTTCAAATTGCTGATATAGAGGGTCATATGGTTTCCATCTCTACTCTAAATAGAGAGACAAATATTAAATGTAGGAATGCTGCAAAAGATAAAATGTTTTAAAGCACTTGCCTCCTTTCTTTAGTGGCACCTTGGATGTTGCTAGTGTATGGGAGTGAACAAAGCCAAGAACTTAATGATGTTATACATAAACCAAAGTTTGATATACTGCACAATATACACACACACATCCCACCCAGGTCAAAAGAAATTTTGAGACGAGCCATGAAATGCTAACTTTTCTATCTGGATGAGCTTATGTAATAATAACTGCAGGTTTGGTTGCCTATCAGTTTCCTGGAACACTAGCAACCCCCTGGATTTGATTGCAAGACATGATCAGTGCCTATAAAGAGTGTTCCCGATACAGATGTAATAACAAGAAGAATGATCAGTATATGTATTTGTAAGGTAACTGATTAATATCTACTTCATGAGATAGAATGACAGCATCTTTTTATGGAATACTGTCTAAGAAGTATGTGCCATCTTGTGTTTCCACAAGGCATTCTTTAGACAATTTCCCCATTTTAAACATCAGTTTCTTATTTCACATATCATACACTTAAATGAAGGATGGCCTTCTTCTCCACTTTCAGGACCTCTCTGTTCTTCAAATAGTGGTCTGGAAATAGTAAAGAATAGTGGTTGAAGTGTTGGATTCAAATTAAAGTTCTTACTGAGTCACTCAATATGTCTCCTTGGGCCAGCCTCACCCTCTTAACATGACTAACCTTACACATTTTTCTAAAGATAAGAAAAAGAGAAGGAGAAACATGTGCCACTTTGAGCCTTAAAGTCCAAGGGAAAAGATAGGATATAAATGTAACACATAGTAAATAAATATACAGGAATCAGTTTTTGCCACATGACTTAACTTCTCCACATTCAAAACCAAATATTAGCAAGCATTACAGCAGTTGTCCTCTCCATATGGATAAAATTAAAGGCAAATTTTTATCACTCCTCATTCAAAGGTAATAGGTTTTTCTAGTGATCATTCTAATTCTGCTGTGGCCATCAGACCAATCATTTGCAGCCATCTCTGACCTAAGCTGTCCCTCATCTGGAAAGTTTTGACCTAGAGGATTTCTAGCTGCAGTTTTAAAAACAAAAAAGAGCCCTGTTTCCCCAAAGCAGGTGCCTATCTAGTTCAGCATTCAGTTTCTACAGCGTCCATGCAGATATCGTGAAAACAGTAGCAGCCTCCTACTTATATTCCCCAACATTGCCTTACTGCCTTTGAAACTACAAAGAGTATACTGTCCTCAGAACTAATACCCAAAATAGTTTGCGAGGGATACAGCATAGGGATGCTTCTTCCTTGAGGGACAGCTGTTGTTGCTTTCAAATAACAGTGCTTGGTTAGAGGGGGCAGAGAACATTTGCAGGCTTAGCAGAAGCTGTCTGTGACCTGTGTCTTTGCCTGGACAAGCAGTACAAGGCATTTTCTAGCACTTTGGCACTACTGAATGTGTATGTGTATTAAATCTTCTCCCCTCCTTCCCCTCGTTTGCCTTAGCAGAGGGGATGCAGCAATTACTAAATTTGGTGTCTCTGAAGCCAAAGCAGCACATGCACTTTGGGTGAACCCAGTAAATATTAAAGAGCAAATATAAAAGAGATAATGGCCTAGACGGAGCTGAGTGGCTGTTTCTATTAAAAGTGTTGTTTGAATTATCCATGAAATGGATCCTGGAATGAGTGACAGGCTGTGAGGGGGGAGGTTGTAGGGTACTCATAAACTAATTTCTTGCCTGGCCCCATGAGAAAACAGAAAGCAAGGGTCCAGTTCTCCTGCCTTCGGCCAGTGGGTGGCAGTGAAAAGCTCCACCAAATGGTGTCTGGGTCACTGCCATAGATTCTCAGAAGAAGGGCCCAATTTAAACATCTCCCATCATTTTTAAGGGATGATGGATAGATACAGATATACTGTGACATTGGTATTTGTTGCAGCCTAGTAAAAATATGTAGCAGCTCCACTTTCTGGATGAAAAGAGAAGGCATCTGGACCTGGAAGCTAATCCAGCCTCCTAAGAAAAATATGGAGTTGAAGTTGGAGCTTGGGAAAAACATTTTTTTTTTTTGGACTTCAACTCCCAGAACCCTTAGCCAGTGTGATGGATGGCCAGAGTTGTGCCTGGCTGTTTGGACAGGATCCCACCGAGACATTTTTCATTCTCCATAAGACAATTCTCTTGGTTGTTTATTCCCACTTGAGCTCTTGGAATCTCCTTTGACAACTTGCTTACTCTCCAGTAAACAAAGTTCCCCCTAAAGGGAGGGTTCTTCCCCTCCTGCACTGTTCTCTGAGGCAGCTTCAAAGAGGCCTAGTGCATTGCTTGCATTTTTGTCTGGGACCTGCCTCTCATAGGGCACCTGGTTATGGCAGCATATCGGCATTTTAAAGTGTGTTTAAGGGGAAAATAGAACATTTCAGCTCCAGGTGTCTCTGTTAGGCAGCAGTGCTCTAAAGTGGTAAAACTATCTAACCTCCTTGGATGGGATCAATGCAGCCCGATAATTGTTAAGGAAGTTTAAATCTCTGATTTCATAAATGGAGCTGGTCCCTGTGTTCTCAGGGGGCAGAACATAATATTTACATGTAGCTTGACAGAGCCATGTAAATATTTCTGTTTCCTATGATGAATTTTGTCTTCTGCACTGTATAAAAGAGGTGGGAGACTAGTGCATGTGGATAATACACCTGCACCTCAGGCAGGGTTTGCAGGAGAAAGAAGCAACGTGCAGGTTTTGTGTGTGTGTGTGGAGTACATAGAGCAGACAGCCCAACAGTCAAGGACAGCCTCCTCGCAACTGGTATGTGGTGGGCTATAACTGCAACAGATAGCAGGGCCCACCGATTGTACTGATCAGGGATGATGGGACCTATAGTCCAACATATCCAGAAGGCTTAAGAAGCTGGCATAGAATTTTCAGGGGGGGGGGATTCCACTTCCTTAGAATCATAGAATAGTGAAGTTTGAAAGGTCCTTAAGGCCATCAAATCCAACCCCCTGCTTGATGCAAATCAAAGGATATCCTCCAGGTGGGTGTCTAAGTTTCTCTTGAATGCCTCCAGTGTTGGAGCACTCAGCACTTCTCAAGGTAATTGGTTCCACTGTTGTACTGCTCTAACAGTTAGGAAGGTTTTTCTGATATTCCACCAAAACCTGGCTTCCTGTAACTTGAGCTCATTGTTGTGTGCCCTGCACTCTGGGATGATCAAGAACTGATCTTGTATCCTCTGTATGACAGCCTTTGAAGAATTTGAAAAGTGTTAGTGTATCACCCCTCTATCTTCTTTCCTTAAGGCTAAACATGCCCAATTCTTTGAGTGTTTCCTCATAGGGATTAGTTTCCAGCCCACTGATTATCCTGTTGCCTTCCTTTGAAATTGTTCCAATTTGCCAGCATCCTTCCTGAAGTGTAGTGTCCAGAAGTGGACACAATACTCAAGGTAAGACCTAACCAATGCTGAATAGAGGGGAACTATGGTAGTACCTCATGAGATTTGGAAACTATACATCTGTTAATGCGTCCTAAAACAGTGTTTGCCTTTTTTTGTAGCCACATCTCACTGTTGGCTCATATTCAGCTTGTGATCTATGACAATTCCAAGATCCTTCTCACTAGTACTATTGCTGAACCAGGTATCCCCCATCTTGTAACTCTGCATTTGGTTTCTTTTTCTTGACCAAGTCTTACTCTGTCCTAAAAGAACCTTAGCTCTTACAATTCCCTTTGAGCTCTGAACATATTTTTTTGCAGTACTGGTTAGGATGGTGCCTTTTATTTATTTTTACTCAGACTCCCAGAATTGTCCACGAATTCCACAGGCATAATTTTAGGAGTTCCTACCTATAGACACATATGCATGCTTACATCTCATGCACTTGGAACAGACTCTGTTTTTTGGACTGTTTTGGGCCTACTTCCTATACTACAAGGAAGCTACCCCAGTGCATTCTAGAAGGTCTAGGTTTCTGTGGAAAGTATAGTTCTTTGGGATACCCTATATAGAGCCTAATGGGCAACAAGACTATAACTCCCACAAAGATCTAGGCTCCCCAGGAAGCAATGGGGCAGTTTTCTTTTTGTATAGGAAGTAGGCCCAAGACACCCTGGAAAACAGAACCTGTTCCAAGTCTGTGAGATATAGCTGTGCACAGATGTCTGTTTGAAGGAACTCCTAGAATTCTGCCTGGAGAATTCTTAGACAATTCTAGGAATTCAAGTCCAAATAACAGTAATCAACAACAATAACTAAAGTGGTTTATTTCCCTTACTGCGTAAACAAATAACAGTCTTAATTAAATACATGTTGCTCATTCATCCCCCCCACCAATGTTGTGTGTGCCCTATTGTTAAACAAAAGTAAGAGACAACTATGTGAAATATGAAATGTTTGTGATGTTACCTATGTTAAAGGCTTTGGATCACTTCTAAACTGAAGATCAGTCCTCAGCATTTGAAGAATTCCAAGAACATTGAAACTGGGCATAGTTATCTACTTCTTCAAGTTCATGCCTTAATCACCTTCCAGCACACATGCTGTATGCCTCAAATGATATTGTGCCAATGGCGGTGATCTGTCCTATTGGCAGAGTAATTATAT